AGAAGGATCCACATTATTGATCCAAACGATGAGCCATTCTGGAATGATACATTATCTCATTGAATAATTCTCTGTTAATTATGGATTGTTTCAATTCTCAACTCTAAATTAAGACTACGTACTATACGTACTTGAATGTTACATTATTAATTACCTCTCAGGATCTACTTTTCTTAGTTATGTCTTTTTAAAATTCCCATCTCTAAATTGTGACTAATTGAATGCTACGTACGATAGTTTCATAGTTACCTCTTATTAGTAGCTATTTGTTAAATCATGTTTTATACTTCATATTTATTAGAATTTCTAAATATGTGTTGGATTGTTACAAGAAGAATAGGTTTAATTCCATATTCAAAATTAATACTTCCTCCATTTTTTAAAGTTGCAACATTAGGATTTTTGCACTATTCATATACCTTACTTTTTGACTATGATTTTCTAATAGTAGATATAATCAAATAATTATGTATAAAATGTTATTAAATTTCTATTAATGTAAATTTTCAAAATATCAACTTTTTTTAATTTTTACTAAAATGTAGCTAAATATAATTACAATCAAAGTTGTATGTTAACAAACGTGAAGTCAAGTTGTATGTTAACAAACGTGAAGTCAAAGTGTTACAAGTTTTAAAGAACGGAAGATAATAGTACCTAATTTTAAACGTGAAGGTCACTGTTCAAGCCAAGTATCACGATCTTTGCTACAAAATCACACAGTGGGTCACAACTCACAAGGTCACTGTTCAAGCCAAGGTCACTGTTCAAGTTCACCGATTAACATAAATATTCTCTGCGACGAATGAAATATTCATAGTAGCCCATAACAATTCATTTACTCCCTGCCTCCCGTTTAAAATATCTCGTTTTACTATATTGGGATGTCCCTATTTAAATGTCGCATACCTTATTTGGTAAAGTTTGTGTGGCTTAAAATCATTCTTACTTTATTCTTACTTTATTATTCTTAATTTATCAATTAATATCAACCACACCAACACACTTTTCTTAAAACCTGTGTCACCCTCCTCCGGGACATTTAAAAGGGGACGGAGGTAGTATGTCATAGAGTTCCTTAGTTCACCCATGAGTGATTTTGTGCATCTAAGATTTGCTAGCTGCAGGACTTGTAGGCTTGTAACCTCGAATCATAATAAACGGGTCGGGTACAGTACATATGATTCCGACCCGTTAAGGACTCATACCCGTTTAAAATTTCCTATTTGTATACAAACACGCTAATACATAAAGTGATTAGTTATAACATTTCAAATAAAAAATACAAACTAATACACACCCACATACATTATAACACATAAAATTATTGGTTGTAATTCTTCAATTAAAAATATACACACAAATACATACCATTTTGGCCGTTTTTGTTCATAATAATAAATGTGTATTGAGCTCGGTAAGTAACACACAACATTCATTATTGTTGTTGTTGTTGTTGATATTATTATTATTATTATTATTATTATTATTATTATTATTATTATTATTATTATTATTATTATTATTATTATTATTATTATTATTATTACTATCATTATCATTATCATATCATTATCATACACTTCGTACAATATGTTTTTATACTCTCAATAGTCCAAGACCCTTTTGTGACTTAATATGAAGTTTATTCAACGAGCTCTATGTACGAAAAAAAGTGAAATAGTGTGGAGTTATATGCAAGAACTCACACTTTATTAGATAAAAGTACTAATATGAGAAACCTTGATTTTTTTTGTTGAAACAATAAAGATATATTTTGCTTTTTAGTTTGCGCACTTTTCTTTACATTTCATATACATGCCTTGTTACTTACTTTCACAAAATGTATAACGGTATCATACTTGGCAGGTCTACCCAATCCGGTTCCGAGACCCGTTGGGTCCGGGTTTGGGTCCAAATTTTCAGACCCGCCAAGTAAACGAGTCGGGTTTGGATCCATTATTAACTTAGTGGGTCCGGGTCTGGAACACTACGTTCCGACCAGGACCCGACCCATTGACAGGTGATGAGTGTTTTCTCGCACTTAAAATAGTTGTAGAAAAGTGGTTGAAAGTACGAGTATCGTCTCCACAGGGACGGACAAAAGAGAAATAAAGATTAACTAAATTTAACAATTAAACAGAAATAAATAAAATAAGATGCGATGTGCGAGATTGAATGATTGAATGATTGAACAAGATAAATATCCAGGATCTGGACATTTGATCCTGGAAAGATTTCCAAAGTGAAGAGTCGAGAAATTGAACATTCCTATGGAAGTCCTCCGAGTGAAAGTGTGAACAAGATAAACTATCACGATCCAAGTTTGAATGACTGAACACAATGATAACGTCGTGCCGCGACGTTAAATGAGGCGCTTCTTGGGAGGCAACCCATGCAAGGTATGTTTACTTATTTTATTTTATTTATGCACTTTTCAAAAAAAAAAAATCGTATCACCCCATTCGAACCCAACACCTCAAACTCTTGAAAAAAAATGATCATCTTGTTCCCATCATCTTACTCCACTTTCCTCTTACTCCATATACACTCTCATCCATAAATTCTTGGAAAACATCACCCCTCTCTCAAACCACAACCTCATATCTTCAAAAAAAGATGGCGAAAACGAGCACTAGGGACATTGCTCAGTTTAGCAAGGGGGAGAAGACTTTTCATCATACATATGGTAGTTCTTCTACAGTGTACTTAAAAAAAAACAAAAACAAAAAAAAAATGTTAAAGAAAATAAAAATAAAAAAAATAAAAATAAAATAAGAAATGTCAGTTAGGTTGAAAACCCGAACGGGCAACCTAAGCAAAAATGACAAAAACAAGAAAAAAAAATGAGTGAGTCGGTGAGGAAAAAGAAAAAAAAGAGGCTAGGACGAAAACCCAAAAACGGGCTCCTAAGGCAAAATGAGAGAATTAGAGGAAAATATTTTATCATGCAAGATCTCTTTTACTCTATGCCAGAGGGATGAAGAAAGAAAAAATGAATGAAGATATTTATTCACATTTGTATGTTGATACTCTTGAGTTATGGTTGTGTGAAACATTTGCTTGAGTCTTTTGCTTGTTAAGACATTCTGAAGCTGGATTTTGATTTTACTCGGGACAAGTAAAAGGCTAAGCATGGGGGAGTTTGATATGCACTATTTCCTAGTGCATAAGTTTGTTATTTTAGTATTGTTTGATTGTTGTTTTTAATTGTTTAGTTTAGTTTGTGATGTACTCTATAGATTTATGTTGTAGGTTTTAATTTGTATTTTTAGTGTGTATTTTGTTGTAAGTACCATAAGGGATGCAAGGAAGTATTATAGGTACCCAAGGAAGGCAAGATGAATGGTGGAAATAAATTCTGGTAGCAAACCCGGTCGGGTTGAAATATAACCCGGTCGGGTTGTAAGTGACATATGAAGCCAAAAGGAAGCTACGCACCAAAACCCGGTCGGGTTGGTATAAAACCCTGTCGGGTTGAGTTGACAAGAACAAAAGAACGTGTCCAAGATCAAAAGAACATGGGAAATATCCGATTTGATACGTAACCCGGTCGGGTATTCTACATACCCGGTCGGGTATCAGACCCAGCCATCTCAAAATACCTATAAATACACCCCCTTTTCCTCCCATTTGATCAATCCCTTCTTCCATACTCTTAAGCTCAATTTAGAATAGTATTTCTTTTATATTTTTATAGCATGTTTACTCTCCAAATGAGGAACTAAACTTCCATTTCTTGGTGTTGCTCTTGAAGCTTGTTGATTATTAAAGTTGTGAGTTATTTTCTTAACTTCTTCCCTTGAATATTAATTCTTCCCTTAATCTATCTATATATTAATGTTGGGGAGTGTTGCTAAGATGACAATTTGTTAACATCTCGACATTAGTTATAGTAGTATTTATTTTCTTCCTCCATATATTAATGTTGGGGAGTGTTGCTAAGATGACAATTAGTTAACATCTTGACATTAGTTATAGTAGGATTTACCATCTTTAATATTCTTCCTTGAATATTAATTAATTCCTATTCATATTTCATATTAATATTTTGAACATTACTTAAAGGATCAACTAGTTTTGTTTCATTTATTAATTATTACTAGAATCGATCGACGAATACGCTTGTTAATCGTTGATGGTTTCACAAGTAAGTAACTTCGGTTTATTAATGCACGGTCGTGGTTAATAAACTTAAGAGGGATTAATTTTGTTGGTTAAACCAAAACCGTTGTGTTGAGGTTATCAATCTCAATTGATTTCATTAAGAGATTAAATGCTATTATCAAGTCGGTATATGGCGGTGTTCTATACTTGACTAATAGTAAGGGTTATTAATGAACGGTCGTTGTTAATAACTACCCTCGATGAATTGGATATACTCCTCGATTGAGTATTCGAGAGGGGATAAGTTATAGATATAACAATGATCGACTAAAATATATCAACAAGTGGAAAGTAGCAATGCCAAGTCCTTTTATCTTTGAATTAAATCTCATATAAGTCGTTCACCTTTGTGTTTAATTAAATTAAAACATTCAATCCTAAACCCCCCTTTTATTTACTAATTTTATAAAAACAGAATTATTCCTTTCCCTGTGGATACGAACTCTACTACGCTATACTACGTATAAGTGTTAGTATTGAATTTATTTTGACTCATTGTGACAAAAGTGCACGTCACTGCCCTTCTCTGATTTTTACTTGGTCTGTTGTTTGGTTTCTTTGATTTGTACTTCGAGTGTTTTGGGGGTTTTCTGATTTTTACTTGGCCTGGGTTGGATTTTGTAAGGAACTTCCACCTTCTTTCTTGGAAGTTGCCAAGAGACATATAACACCTTCTAGGAAGGAGGTATCAAACACATGAACATGGAGAAGATTTCTTGGAGATAGCTAGGAAACTCCCTAGCAATGAGAATGGAAGCTTGGATGCAACTTCCTCATGTCTCCCATATACACCTATAAATAGAGAGTGTATTGTTGTTCATTGTATCAGTTTAGAAAGTGAGAAAAGTGTGTGAAGAGTGAAATACACTAAGTGTAGAAGTGTATTGGTGAGGATTGGTTTTTTGTAATAGTTGAGTGTGAGAGTTTGCTCCTCCTATTGTAATTCTGTTCTTGATATTGAATAGAAGAATTTTCCAATCCCAACAAGTGGTATCAGAGCGAGGTTGAGTTTTCATACACTGTTTTCTCATTTTCAGATAAATTTCTACAGGTTAGAAAATCGTGATTTTTCAAGTTGCTCGGAATCACGATCTGATCGTACCGTTAGATTCGTCTCGTCGAGACGAGAAATCTGGTATTTTTGGGGAATTTTTTGGCCACCGGAAGAGGCCGTACGCGCCGCCCAAACGCGCCGGAGAACTGCCTGCGTCATCACGCAGTCCAGAGGAAGAAGACGAGCCACGTCAGCGCCACGTCATCCGCCACGTCAGCGCCAGCGCAGAGCCAGCTGTTGCCACGTCATCCGCCTGCTGGTCTGCTCACTGGGCTGCTGCCTGAACCGGACCGAACCGGTTCGTACTTGTGGAGGCCGGTTCACCCATTTTCAGACCGGTTTTGGACGAGGTCAGACCGGTTCCTGCCATTTTCGGCCATTCCGGATCCAACGGTGAGCTCCGTTTGTCCAAATTCAGCTTCGAAAATAAGGTACGGGATATTTTTGAGCGTTTTATTATGGATAAATCATCATCGGACACCATGATTGCGCTCATTTCCACAAATTACAATATGTGGAAGCCTCGGATGGAGGATTTGCTAAATTTGAGGGATTTAGCCGATCCTCTTGATAATAATGGCGTGAAACCGGATAAAAAGACGGATGAAGAATGGACAAAAATGAATAGAAAAACTGTCGCACAAATTCGGCAGTGGATCGATCATAGTGTGTTCCACCATGTTGCGCAAGAACAAAGTGCTTACACACTATGGGAGAAGCTTGGTAGCATGTATCAAGCAAAAACCGCCCGAAATAAGACATTACTAATGAGGAGATTAGTAAACCACAAGTTACGAGGAGGTATTTCGGTGTCAGAACACACCAGTCAATTCCAGGATCTTGTGAATCAGTTGAGCACCACAGGATGGGTTCTCAAAGATGAAGAGCAGGCGATACTACTCTTGAGCTCTCTACCTGACAGCTGGGAGACTCTTGTTGTCACTCTCAGCAATTATGCTCCCAATGGCAAAGTGACTATGCAGATGGTCACAGATGCCCTTATGATTTTTTTTTTTTTTATCCCGGAAGGCAAACCACCGCATCCAGTGGGGTAAATGCCGGGGGTCATTTACCATATTTTATTAAGCAGCAAGAGAATACATGACCAAAGTGGTTAAAAAATTGGGGGGGCTAGACCTTACCCAATATAATAAAATATTAACTGAAACGAAAGAAGCTAAGACCAAGCTTATCTGCTAAAATTGATTTTCGAATATAAACAGGAATCTCCATAGTATTGGAGAAAACAGTAAAACCATCAAGATCTAATCTGGATAAAAGATGAGCTGGCCTGTTCGCTTCTCTCCAAACATGTCCGAAACTCAGCCCACCCTCAGCCATCCGACTTCTCCAGTCATCCGAATCCAGGCAAGCGAAAATTCCACCCTTCGACCTGTTGGAAGCCTTAATCGCTTCAATTGCCCCTTTAGAGTCTGACTCAACTTCCATTTCTCGGAAACCCTGCTCCATCATCCAAGAAACCGCTGCTATGATAGCTATCAGTTCAGCTTCAAGAGCTGACCTAGCCGAAATAGGAAAGTGCAGTGCCCTCAACAGTTCCCCTCGGTCCGAACGTAGAAGAGCTCCTCCCGCTACCTGATTCGAACCAAAAGAGGCATCAACATTCAACTTATATTTCTGTTCAGGTACCTTCCATTTGACTGTTATAATCCTAGGTTTATAGGGTTTTGCAGTGTTGGGGATAAAACCTTCTTCGAGAAGAGTAGGATGGGGCTTCTCTTTGAATTTCAAACGCCCTAATTTGGAACAGTACCATTCTTGGGCATAAAACTTAATTTTGTTAATCACCAAGTTAGCTGATGGAATATTAATCAAATCTCCCCAAGTGGTCTGAGAATATATTTTCCAAATATTCCACGCTATTATTCCAGGCATATTGTGTCTATAAACATCCATAAGCGTTCTTGACCCAGCTTCCAACCACCAAGAAATGAAGATTTGTCTGACAGAACTTTGGCCATTATAGTACGGTATATCAAATATACCCATAAAATACCTCCAAATATTTCTAACATATTCACAGTTATAGAGTGCATGGTCCATGGAATCACTGTCTTTTTTGCAAAGAGGACACATAGATGGGAAAACACAAAGATTGAACCTGTAAAAATTATCAGGGAAAGGGAGAATTCTATGTAACATTTTCCATTGAAAGATCTTAATCTGATTAATCTGCTGAAAGATGCCCTTATGAACGAAGAAGCCCGAAGAAAAGAAGCCGGGACTGAACAATCATATGCCTTCGTGTCAGAAACCAGCAGACGAGGGGGAGGCAGAAATGGAGGAAGAAGTCGAGGTCGAGGTAGAGGCCAAGGTCAAAACAGAGGAAATTCTCAAGTTCGCGGCAGATCACAAGAGAGAGGTATGTCCTTTGAAAACATTATTTGGTTTGAAGGATATTGCAATTACTGTAGTAATTATGGGCACAAAAAAAGAGATTGTAGAAAGTTTCTACGAGAGCAGCCACAGACGAGTCAAAATACTTGCCAAGAAGATGGTGTGACTATGGTCAGTTTGTCATCAGACGCGTGTCTTGTTACACATGGTGAACAAGAATGTTTACACGTAGGTACTCATGATGTTGAGTGGGTGATTGATACAGCCGCATCATTTCACGCCACTCCACACCAGAATTTATTCACATCTTATAAGTCCGGGGACTTTGGAGCTGTGAAGATGGGAAACACCAGTTTCTCGAAGATTGTTGGCATTGGTGATGTGCACATAACAACCAATGTCGGATGTGCACTTGTTTTAAAAGATGTTCGACACGTTCCGGATCTTAGATTGAATCTTATCTCCGGTACAGCTCTGGATCAACAAGGATATCTTAACAGATTCAAAGAAGGTATGTGGAAGTTATCTAAAGGTTCCTTGGTTGTTGCAAGAGGCCATATTTGTGGTACTCTGTATAAAACTCATGCAAAGTTGTGTCATCCGAGTCTCAATGCTGTTGAAGAAGAGATATCACCAAACTTGTGGCACCGGAGGTTAGGCCACTTAAGCGTGAAGGGATTGACAACTCTTGCTAGGAAGGAAAGGATTTCCATGGGCAAAGGTGTTGCCTTAGATCCATGCGAGCACTGTCTATTCGGGAAACAACACAGGGTTTCCTTCAGTTCTACCAGGAAGAACCATTCAGAGTTACTCAGTCTTGTACACTCTGATGTATGCGGACCCATTGAAGAGGAGTCACTTGAAGGAAGCAGATATTTCGTGACATTCATTGATGATGCATCACGAAAGGTATGGGCTTATTGTTTGAAGAGTAAGGATCAAGTGTTTGATCGCTTCAGATTATTTCATGCCATGGTAGAAACAGAAACAGGGAAGAAGCTGAAGTGTCTACGTTGAGACAATGGAGGAGAGTACACTTCCCGAGAGTTCTCAGCATATTGCGCCGCATATGGAATCAGACATGAGAAGACGGTTCCACGAACTCCGCAACACAATGGTGTAGCCGAAAGAATGAATCAGACTATTATGGAGAAAGTTCGTTGCATGCTGAGTATGGCTAAACTATCTAAGCCATTCTGGGGTGAAGCTGTGCTGACAGCTTGTTATCTTATAAACAGGTCACCTTCTGTTCCTTTAAACTTTGAAGTGCCAGAGAAGAAATGGTCAGGAAGAGATGTTTCTTACTCTCACTTGAAAGTGTTCGGGTGCAAGGCATTTGCACATGTGTCCAAGGAGTTGAGACAGAAGCTTGATCTCAAGTCAAACCCATGCATCTTCATCGGGTATGGTGATGAAGAATTGGGATACCGGTTGTGGGATCCCAAAGTGAAGAAAGTTGTACGAAGCAAAGATGTTGTATTTCATGAAAACGAGTTTCATGGGTGTGCTCCAATAATCCGCCAACAACATACTCCAGAAGACGAAGTGCCTGCATCATCAAACATTCCTCTCAGCGACGAGGAGATGCATGATACTACTGAACAAGAGAGTGATGGTTCAGTAGATGATGATGATACTCATAGTGATGATATTCCTCAGCAGGGGGAGCCTTCATCTGAAGACGAAGCTGAAGGTATTCATGTTCGACGTTCTATGCGAGGCATAGTTCCACAGAGAAAGTATTCCACATCCGAATGGATACTTGTTAGCGAGGGGGAGCCAGCGAGCATCACAGGAACAAGAGAAATTAAGAAAAAGGTGGAGGGGGAGATTTGTAAGGAACTTCCACCTTCTTTCTTGGAAGTTGCCAAGAGACATATAACACCTTCTAGGAAGGAGGTATCAAACACATGAACATGGAGAAGATTTCTTGGAGACAGCTAGGAAACTCCCTAGCAATGAGAATGGAAGCTTGGATGCAACTTCCTCATGTCTCCCATACACACCTATAAATAGAGAGTGTATTGTTGTTCATTGTATCAGTTTAGAAAGTGAGAAAAGTGTGTGAAGAGTGAAATACACTTAGTGTAGAAGTGTATTGGTGAGGATTGGTTTTTTGTAATAGTTGAGTGTGAGAGTTTGCTCCTCCTATTGTAATTCTGTTCTTGATATTGAATAGAAGAATTTTCCAATCCCAACAGATTTGGGGTTGTAAATAAACGTATGATGGAGTTGCTACTTTATGTACAATGGGGTTGCAATAGGTGAGCTTAGTGATCGATGATGTCTAGTTGCCCCCTAATTAGTTATTTAATTCATTAAACATTTTCATTCATTAAAACATTTAAATGTATGGAGAACAGGGGAGTAATGGAGTTGCTTTTACATATCTAATGTGTAAGTTGATATGTCTGTGGGTTAAATGTGTGTTTATATATATACATATGTGTGGAAAAGTACCTCCTCAAACACTAAAAGTCTACAACCCCAAAAGAGTTTTACATTTAACATCTTGTACCACCGTCTTCTTGGCTACAATAAATCAAGAGGAATATTAGGTTAGTTTCTTATGGTAAGGTTGTTTGAAAGAATTGATCTGCTGAATTTTCCCAAAGGAAGTATTCTGTAAAATTGCTTTCAGCCAAACGAACTCTAACCAGTCAAAGCATTTGTGACCAAGTAACTTGCAGGGCAGAATGTCTACAGGAGCCCATTTCTATGAGTGAATGTGTAGCACAACATTCAAAGAAAAGAAAAAGAGTAATTCAATAAAGGTCTTCTTTTGAAGCATGTAAACATTGATATTTTGTTAAAATCCTTTGGTACTTTTCTGTTTTGTCTATTATTTTTGTATTTTACTTCCTTTGTTCCCTTTTAATTGCAACAGTCAACATTTCACGTTTGCCAATACACAAGTTTGACCATTAATATCTTTGATTCCTTATAAATAAAAAATTTAAAAAATTTATATTTTGAAAATTTAGAATGAGAAGAATTTAATAACATTTTTTAAAAAATTAATTTATAATACATTAATGAATAAAATATAGTCAAAGTAGAATATGTGAATAGTGCAAAAAAATCCAATGTTGCGATTAAAACAGAACGGAGGATAGTATTAGAATAGCTAATCACGATTGAATTTTTTGCAGGTCAAAGTGAACTTAAATAGGTTTGGAATCGCAAAGTCAACAAAGCTGTTATTCATTAAATCAGGCATGCTGGGTAGGGGATTTGAATTGGATAAGGGCTTAGGCGCTTAGCTCAATCCTCTCTATTAACTCTAAGAGTCGATGTCTTCTACGTTTACTAATGTTCATGAAAGGGGCTGTTATGATTAGGCAAAGATAAACGATAAATTAAGAGCAAGAACACAAGAATTAACGTGGTTCACACAATCGGGTTGATTGTGCTAGTCCACGGCGAACGAGAGAGATTAGAGCCGTTTAAATAGGTTTAAGAAAACCTAAACTGAGATTAGAGTCGCAGGCCCAAAATTAAGCCTGTAATTAAAAATCCCGTCGACTGACCCGGTCGGGTCTCTTATTTTACCCGGTCGGGTCTCCTTCACAAAATACAAACCCGGGTAGAAACCAGGTCGGGTTTCCAAAACAGAAGCTCATCGAACATCTGACCCGGTCGGGTCCTTCACCTGTACCTTCGGCGTCCCAAGAGGTTTACAAGTACATAAGAGTCGTTTAAATAGGTTTAAGAAAACCTAAACTGAGATTAGAGCCGCAGGCCCAAAATTAAGCCTGTAATTAAAAATCCCGTCGACTGACCCGGTCGGGTCTCTTATTTTACCCGGT